CTCCCTCTCGCTCTCCCTCTCTCTCTCTGTGTTTGTGTTTGTGTTTGTGTCTATCTCTCTCCCTCTCCCTCTCCCTCTCCCTTTCTCTGTGTGTGTGTCTCTCAGGCGGCCATCGTAGAGAACATCCGTCTCTACACGGACAAGTACGACGAGGAATTCGACCCGCACCTCAAGTCCTTCACGCAGGGGGTGTGGGGGTTGCTCATGAAGGTATATTACCTTGCCGGTGGCAGTATCACCCCTGTGCTCGTTTGTTTGTGTGATCGATGACGGGGAGCGGAGGGGGGCGGGGTGGACGTGTGGATGCTAACGATCATTTTTGTTTTTAGCGGTCATCGAAGAGGATGGCCCAGCTTGTTTTTGTGCCACCACAAACCCACGTCGCGCCCCATGGGTGAAGCATCGTTTCGCTTTATGTGTCGTGATGTATGAACCGACACCTACCGTCTCGTGGTATCGCGTGGTATCGTATGTATCGTTTTGAAGGTGTCTGCCGGCAAGCACCACGACATCGTCGCCACGACCTGCATCAAGTTCCTGACGCTGGTGGTGGGAAAGCAGATCCACAAGGACCTGTTCGGGTCGGAGGCGACGCTGACGGAGATAATTCAGAAGATCGCCATCCCCAACATCACCATGCGGGCCGCGGACGAGGAGCTGTTCGAGGTACGTACGTATTTACTGTGTCCGTGCCTGCCGCATGTTGTCTTTGCTTGAAAAAAATTGGTGGTTCCATGATGTGTTGCAGGTTTGGATCCATCCGGTCGAATCGTGTATTATTTGTAAGTACGACACAGGATGTGTGCTTTGAGAAGCTTGTTCGTGGTTTTGACGTTGCTGTGCGCGCTTTCAGACACGCACCCTAGTGTTAGCCGTATGTGTGTTTCGAAAACGCGAAGCCTGATGATCATTTTGGTGGTGCATGCTTGTCTTTGAAGCATTGCGTTGCCGCAAGGGTTTTAAAATGCTGATAGAGGCTCCGTGTTGGAGTGCTGTAAAAACATCTTGAACTGTTATTGAGAAGGACTCCACCAGACACAACATCCGGAAGTGGTGTACCGTGGTAGTACAGTAGGGGGTCCGTTTTTTTTTATTTCTGCTCTGTCTCTCAACTCAACTTGGCGCCGTGAGCCTTTTCGCCTGATGCTTCAACGACTCATTCGCTCTATCTGCGATTGGAGGGCAAGCGAATATCCCAAAATTTTCTTTCTTAGGGTTAAATGCCATGTGTCGTCTTTTAACATCGTCTTAGAACAGCACAGGATTTCTCCCGCCACTCACTGCTATTACTTGAACACATGCCGTCCATCTGGGTATTATTTTCTAGCATTTGTGAGACTTGGGATGCGGAAATATTGCCGGCTCTCCAACAAACAGGGCAATGTATCGGGGGCACAGCGGCGTACTCATGTTTCGCATCGTTGGCGGTTAGACCATTTACGACGCGTCCTCGACAGCGCGGGGCATGGGTTACCCTCCTGCTCTACATACCGTAAACTACGGAGTTTCCCCCCCGGTGAGGGGATCGTTTTTTTTTCTGAAACCAACCCCCCCGGGGGGGAAATTGACGTACCGCGGGGGCTTAGTTTTTTTTTTTCCAACGCTACCCCGGGGGGAAGCCCCCCCCCCCCCCCG